TAAAAAGAAAGAGGTCCAGTTGCCATGACTCAACTTCCAGATACTCCTGGAGGAGTGAATCTCTTGGCTCACTGTTTCCCTCCACTTGTTGGTAAAACTGAGGAGGTTTGCATAGGATTCCAGTGTACCTTTCTCAGTTCTGTTCACTTCAGAGGTGTTCACCTCTTCAGTTCAATACGTGTAAAGCCTGATCTGTACACTTTTACCATGTTCACATGTAACATTCACCATACATACATTGTACACAAATTAACAATCTTTACATTCATCTAGTTATTCAAATATAATGAAGGATACCGTGTTCATACAGAGTTCTCTGGCTGAGAGCCCAGTTTTTTTTTTATTCATTGAAGGACACTGCTTCACTTGGAACAACATGTGAAATAACTGTGTAACTCTTACACTGCTGATGTTACAGTAGTATGAAAGCTTAAGAAGTAGAGAGGGAAAGTATTTGGATTTTGAGTAAATTAATTCCTTGTGTCTAATTCAAGCAGTTAACTTAGAAAAATACTGCTTGCCTAGACAGAAGTACAGCTCTCCTCTGCTCAGTGGGGATTATATAGGATTGTGCTCTCAATTTTTTAAAAAAGCTATCTACCCCATAAAATAACCACTATGAAACACTGGGGGAATAATAAAAAAAACTTGCTGCCATGTATTGTTTCAATAATACAGTAATTTCAAAATACAGTAGTGCCTCGCAAGATGATGTTAATTCGTTCCGCGATAATCACTGTCTTGCGAAAACATTGGAATGCATTGAAATCTATTTAATGCATTCCAATGGAGAAAAAAATTGTCATCTTGCAAAAATCATCCGTAGAAAACATTGTCTTGCGAAACGTGGTCCCCCATTGGAATGCATTGAAATCTATTTAATGTGTTCCAATGGGGGGGGGGAACTGTCTTGCGAAGCATTGGTCTAAAAAAAAAAGTTTTGTGAAGCACGATCGCAAAAACCCATCGTCTTGCGGATTGATCATTCCGCGAGGCAATCGTCTTGCAAGGCACCACTGTAAATCCATATGATTTTTGACATGGAATAATTCAGATGCAGAGCTTGGAAAGATTGTTCTTGAGAGCTAGAACTTCCACACTCTCCCAGACACCCAGGCAAGTGGGTCATACTGGCTAAGGGATTCTGGGGCTTGAACTCAGAAGCAAGCAGAATAAAACAAATAGGAGTTCAAGTCGGATCAATTGGTTATTCGGTTAGATTATTCAGTTACCACCTACTGAAAGGCTGGAATGCAGATGTAGACCTCACAGTAGTCACCTTCCAGTTTCAAAGCTGCTGTTGTAGCTAATATTGTTTACTCATTCCTCCTGTGGCCTGATCAGGTTGTTTCCTCTCTCAAATCATCCACTTTCTCTCAAAACTAAGTCACCCAAAACACTGAACCAAGATGAAATTTTAAATTTTATCCTCAGATTCTCCTATGGGATGCCCCCAGAGGGCAAAAGGGTTATGCAGCAGGCACACCAGTCTCATTATCTCTTGTCATTTCGGTCAGCTTCCATCTATGGAGGGTGACTCTGTCACTCCAAGGGTGAGGGAAGCCTTCCTCCCTGTGGGGAGAATCACAGAAATGACTGCAGTGTCCCTTCCTCATATGTTTCCTCCGTTCTGTTTATCAATACATGCATGCCCTGTCCAGGCATTCAGGATATGGTTTAGATAACTCTGAAATTAAGGTTTCTGATCACAGAAGGTGATAGTACATGTAGAGGAGGTTGTCCTCTTTAAGCTGTTGCTCCATATATGACAAGATCAGTGCAGGATGGAGAGGTGTTAATCTGCTCCCCTTTTTTCAAGCCTTCTGATGCAGTGGTTCAACTGCAGTATTGCAGCTAAGATTCTGCTCACAATCTGAATTTGATCCCAAAGGACTCGGGTAGCCAGGTTGAAGTTGACTGAGCTTTGTATCCTTCAGAGGTTGGTAGATTAATTGCACAGCTCACCGGGAGGGGGGGAAGTGGAGGAATGTGTAGCCTGCACGATTTAATTTTAAACCGCCCAGTGAATGCTTTAAGCTCAATGGGACAGTATATAATGCTTTTTACAAGCATTCAGGTTAGCGCTGCCTAGAATGCCTGAATGTGTATGATGGTTTAACATTATACGTGAGCCTGAATCCTATTGCGGATTTATACTGGTTTGAGTATAATTGCCAAAATCAAGGCAGACAATTGCCACTAATTAAAGAATTGCTGCTCACTATTCTATTCATGTAGCAAATCACACAACTTGAAATGCAAATGGCAACTTCTTAATGAGTGGCCATTCCCTGCTGTAGTTGGTGCATTTACATCCACATTGGTGTAGATATGCAATAAAATTCTGGCCTTTTACTCCTTTTTATTTCCATTGATGTTAGTTACAGTATATTGATTTGTACCCTGTTTCCCTGATAATAAGACCTAACCTGAAAATAAGCCCTAGTGTGATTTGTTCAGGATGCTTGTAAGCCCTACAAGCCCTACCCTCAAAATAAGCCCCAGTTAAATAAAACCCTGTCCTCCACCATTGTGCAGTAACCAGAAGAAGATGACATGACTGTATTTGAATCAATGTAGATCATTGTACATGAAAAAAATAAAACATCCCCTGAAAATAAGCCCTAATGTATTTTTGGAGAAAAATTAATATAAGACCTTGTCTTATTTTTGGGGAAACATGGTATGTTGTCTGTGCAAATTCTTATTCACAATTTCTAGGTATCTGGATGTGATCTAGGTGTCTAGTGCCTCAGTGTCTCCTTAACTAGTAGAAATGCTCATTGAATTTGTGCAGAACAAAAAACCTATGAGATTCATTTACAATTATGTCTTGTTATATGATAAATATGATCTGCAAGGTTTTAGAAATAGAATGAGGAATTAGAGTGTTCATTCAACAGAAGCTGGCTCTAGCTTCTATCTCTGCTGCAACTATGGGCCTCAAAATGTGAATTATTCACAAAAACATGATCTATTTATACAGTACTAGAAATGGCAACATCTTTTAAACAAAGATTTGAGCAATTCCATTAACTGCCAGCAGAGCAGTTCACCCATTTGACCTGCAAACAAGTACCGTATCCCATTCCTTTTGGGGATAAGTTATTATATATAATCAGTTTTCTATTGCAGCAGTCTGCAAATGCTGTGGATATGCATATTCTCTTATCTATCTATTCTTGGTTATTGGAGGTAAATTCTCCATGTCCTTTTGTTGGCTGAAAGATAAAATGTGGTTGACTGTGCCAACATCTTTTTAACAAAGATTTGAGCAATTCCATTAACTGCCAGCAGAGCAGTTCACCCATTTGACCTGCAAACAAGTACCGTATCCCATTCCTTTTGGGGATAAGTTATTATATATAATCAGTTTTCTATTGCAGCAGTCTGCAAATGCTGTGGATATGCATATTCTCTTATCTATCTATTCTTGGTTATTGGAGGTAAATTCTCCATGTCCTTTTGTTGGCTGAAAGATAAAATGTGGTTGACTGACATCACCACGGTTGCCGTGATATGTTGAATCCAGCTTGTTCAGATCTTTGCTAAGTGCCCTTTTCCAGCCCCCTGAGAGGAGTTGCTAGGGTCTGTTGTAGTATTGATGCCTTCATAGTATATAACAAGGCTACTCTTTTGTAGTGTCAGAAAGCACACTAGATGTTATAGAACAAGTCAAAAATACTACCTGCTTTGCGGGGGTGCGAAGCAGTGTACTGTATTTAAAATACCTAACTGTCCAGCAAATTACAGTGTGCCTATTTGAGACATGATTCCCTACTCTTCCTCCTGGGAACAGAGCCAGCCTGTGTGGCCCTGGGCAGGCTGCACCGTCCCAGGATGCCCCCAGAAGAAGGGAATGGCAAACCACTTCTGAGTACTCGCTACCTGGAAAACCCGAAAAGAGGTGCAGTAAATCAGAATTTTTTAGTCTGTTGTTTCAGTTCATGGGGTATTCTTGGCAAAGATACTGGAGTGGCTTGCCAGTTCCTGCTCCAGGTGGATCGCATTTAGTCAGACCTCTCCGCTATGTCCTGTCCGTCTTGGGTGTCCCTGCACAGCACAGCCCATAGCTTCTCTGAGTTACTCAAGCCCCTTCGCCACGACAAGGCAGCAATCCATGAAGGGGGGGACTGCAAGGAGAACAAATCTATCCATTTTGAAGGAAATCAACCCTGAGTGCTCATTGGAAGGACAGATCCTGAAGCTGAGGCTCCAATACTTTGGCCGTCTCATGAGAAGAGAAGACTCCCTGGAAAAGACCCTGATGTTGGGAAAGTGTGAAGGCAAGAGGAGAAGGGGACGACAGAGGATGAGATGGCTGGATAGTGTCATCGAAGCTACCATCATGAATTTGACCTAACTCCGGGAGGCAGTGGAAGACAGGAGGGCCTGGCATGCTCTGGCCCATGGGGTCACGAAGAGTCGGACACGACTAAGCGACTAAACAACAACAACAAATCAGAATTAACTTGATGGCAAATGATTACTTATTAGACCAGGGTGGACAAGGTCTCTGGGTGTCAGTTTCCCATTTCCAGGAACCACTCAAACAAACAAGAAAACAAACAATAAACAGAATTCCACTTCTAGTTTTCTAAACAGCTTTTTTAAAAGTTTAAAATGCAAGGATGAATTGAAAACTGTTCTAGGAGGTCAGCTGCCATTCCCAGAGGCTTGCAGACATGGTGTTTTGCCTTTTAGCCTCTCTCCCCCCCCAAAAAAAAATGGGGCAATCTAGGGATAGAGCTTGGGAGCCATATGCAGTTTGTGGGTTGCATTTTGCCTACCCTTGGGTAGACAGATTGGCTGTGACACATTTGGGTGGTGAAGCATATCGCTTGAATGCAGTAGGCCATATGTTCACTATCTGGCAGGTTCAGTTTAAAAAAGGGATAGCAAAATGGGGAAGATGTCTTTCCTGAGAGTGGGATTGTGTCACATGCTGTATTGTTAACAGGTTCTTCATTCATCCTAACACAATCTTTTTTTTTCTGCAGATTAGGACAAGGAAATTTAAAAAATGGATTTTTACGACCCTCAGACACTGAGCGTCATGGTTTTTGGAGGATTCATGCTGGTTTCAGCCATTGGGATATTTCTGGTGTCCACCTTTTCTATGAAAGAGACGTCTTATGAAGAAGCTTTGGCAAAGCAACGCAGGGAGCTGGAGAAAGCCAGCCAGCCCAAAGTAGAAAAGAAGAAAAAAGAGAAGCCTGCTGAGAAGAAAGGAAAGGCCAAAAAAAGGGAGGAGAAACCTAATGGCCAAATAGCTGAACCAGAACCAGATGTGGATGCTGCTCACAGTGCTAAAGAGGCGAATCCTGAACCAGTCTTGGTTACTGAACCAGTTGTGCAGGCACCTGTTGGGTCACTTGCACCTCCTCCTCCTCCTCCTCTGGAGAAGGAAAAACTAACCCCTTCCCCTAAAGAGAAGAAAAAAAAGGAAAAGAAAGTGGTAAAGGAAGAGATGCCTCCTAGCCTGGCCATTTCGACTCCACCAGCTACTGTGTCAAAAGATCTGATTTCTGATATGGTTCCCAAAGAAAAGCCAGTAGCTGCTTTTCCTCAGCAGAATGCTTCTTTCGCCAACTCCGTAGCTGTCAAAAACCAAGAAGCCCTTGGAAACCAAGAGGAACAAAAGCAAGATGGGACATCTAAGAAAAAGGCTGTTGCGAAGAAGAAGAGAGAATCAAGTAAGTCACCTGCTGAAAATGTCATGTTAGATCTTGTAGATAAAATGGCAATGTATAATTAACCATTTGATGTATAGATCTTCCAAAGGTGTAGGTAGATAATAGTGTGTTAGCATAACATCCCAAGCATGGACGTTTACACCTTCACCCCTGCTTTTCCTTTTTTTTCGGCACCACCAAAAGCTAGCCAAAGTAACGACATTCTGAATAATTTACAGACTTTCCTGCTTTGACCTTTAGCAGCCCCCACTCTGAAATATATAACATCCAAAGCATGAATGTTTACACCTTCACCCCTGCTTTTCCTTTATTTTCTTCACCGCCAAAAGCTAGCCAAAGTAACGACATTCTGAATAATTTACAGACTTTCCTGCTTTGACCTTTAGCAGCCCCCACTATGAAGATGTATTGTGTACTTAACCAAATGTGATAATCTCTGAGCGAAGGAGGTTTCATAATTGAGGCACAACTACCAAGAATAACTCTCTGCCTATTTATTCTGGCAGTACATACACTGCAGATTTGATGAGCTGATTCCTAGTTGATTACAGAAGATAGAATAGAATAGCCATCCACGCATTGGTCGTTCTTCATTTGGGGTCACTGGGATTGGGGCTTTGCTTCCAAAATGCCGTTGAATACCAGAGGTGCTAGAAGTGTAGTCAGAAACAATATTCCACCGTCATCGCAGTTCAGAGCAGGGCTGAAGGTTGTGTGTCTTGTGCTGTGCTCCAAGTGCCTCTGCAGTACAAGATAGCATAGTCTCATCCTTCATCTTACTAAGAGACGTTGAATACCAGAGGTACTAGAAGTGTGGTCAGAAACAACATTCCACTGTCATCCCAGTTCAGAGCAGGGCTGAAGAGTTGTGTGTATTGTGGTGTGCTCCAAGTGCCTCTGCAGTACAAGACAGCATAGTCTCATCCTTCATCTTACTAAGAATCACTTCCAGACATCCAGAGCTCTTCAGCAAGAGAAAGGACTGCATAGAAGGTGGTAGATTCTGCTATGCTAGAGGTTTTTCAGTAGAGGGTGGATGGCCACCAGTTAAGGATGCTTTAGCTGCATTTTGCTACATTCACGGGGATTGCACTTTGTGTTACCTTCCAGCTATGATGTTGAGCCGGAGGGCACAGTTGCAATGCAGTTCTGGTGCAGGATTGTGCCAAAGTAACATCTAAAGAATGGCCCTAGACTGCTTTCAGGAACTACCTGGAAAAGACCGTATACAGCCACATTCTGGGAGCTGGGTCACAGTGCCAGGGTCTGCTGGAGCCCTTGTTACAGGGAGCATGACCAACTTGTGTTTTCTGGGAGACGTGCCCACCAAGATTAGCCTGGAGTGTGTGCGGTTTTCCATGCTCTGCCATCTGTATGGCCATGGGCAAACTAGGGTTCTGGAGCACCACCAGAAGCAGGGACTGGTGAGCCACTTCTGACTAGCTAGGGAATCACAGTGCCAGGGTCTGCTGGAGCCCTTGTTACAGGGAGCATGACCAACTTGTGTTTTCTGGGAGACGTGCCCACCAAGATTAGCCTGGAGTGTGTGCGGTTTTCCATGCTCTGCCATCTGTATGGCCATGGGCAAACTAGGGTTCTGGAGCACCACCAGAAGCAGGGACTGGTGAGCCACTTCTGACTAGCTAGGGAATCCTGCAGGGTCGTAGGGTTCTGTGAGCCACTTCTGACTAGCTAGGGAATCCTGGAGGGTCTCCATAAGTTGGAATCAATTTGATGGGAAGTCTCTGTTTATATCTGGAGCTGCACAAGAATAATGTACTGTAACATCAGATGTGAGAATACTGGTCATGGTCATCTCTATAGGAAAATAGCTTAATAGATGACCCTCATGGCGCAGTGGTTAAACCACTGTACTGCAGCCAAAACTGTGCTCATGACCTGGGGTTCAATCCCAGATAGCCGGCTCAAGGTTGACTCGGCCTTCTATCCTTCCGAGGTCAGTAAAATGAGTACCCAGCTTGCTGGGGGGAGGGGGGCAATGTGTAGCCTGCATGATTAACTTGTAAACCGTCCAGAGAGTGCTTGAAGCACTATGGGGTGGTATATAAGCAGCACACTTTTTAATAGAGTAAGGGCTGCACTGCAGCTTAGAATGTTGTTTTCCTGTATTTTCAGCTACAACAGAGTCAACAGTACTGGAGCTGTGTCTCTTCAATACCCACTAGTGAGGTGATTGCCCGGGTGGTTAGGAAAGGACATCTCATTGCTTTGGCATGTCTGTTCTAGTGCCCAGAAGAGTTTTCTCTTTAAAAACACAACTGAGCAAATGCCTTCAGTTTTTCATTCTTTCTTTGAAGCAATTGGGTGGGATAGATATCCTTGATTGGGGGTAGGGGGTTGCCTCAGCACAGACACAAATCATAAAAGTGGAGATACACATATATAAAAGAACCTCTATACTGAGAAGGAGCTATTACTACTCCCCCCACTCTCTCTTTCCCATCCATGTAAATGTCATCATTCCAAATATGCCAAGCAAGGCACATTTTGAATTCCTGTGTAACAAAATGAGCTGAAAATTTTCATTTTGATAAAAACTGTGGACACATTAGTACTGCTGTGTAAAGCACATACCATGTGTTCATTTTAACTTGACACACAAAAAATTCAGTACAAACAGAAAAATTGGAGGGCAAAGTCTAACCACAGCAAAGTGTATGAGAAATCCTGTCAGCACTTGTCAGAGCTATGGAAGTCCCTTGTTAAATTTCACATTTCTAGAAATAACCAATTTCCTTGGCATTTTATCTAGAAATGAGTGTAGGCGTTCTTTACATTTAGCACTCTTATATGGCCAAGGTTTTGTTCAATCTGTTGAGGGGTCTTCTGAGTATAAATGATAACGTCTACTATCCCTGTCCCAAAGATTTCCGGTTCTAATTGTGGAATGCAATTCATCTTACTCACCGAAAAGTCACAACTGTGGAGACCCACAACCTATACATTCTTACAATGTGCAGTTACCATATACAATCCCTGGTTTTCATGCCTCCTAGCTTGATAAAGCCTTTTGAGTAACTGCAGAGATAAACGGCTAGATTACACCCCACACTGTAGCCTCTGGAGTGGGCAGGCAGAGTATACTGGTGGGGTGGCCAAACTCCTTATGTCAAGATAGTTGGTAGTAAGAGATACCCATCGGAGATACCTAAAAGATTTGCCCACTGGTTGAAAGAGAGAACAGCAGGCAAAGACATGCACTATTTGCTCAGACATAAGAATGATTTAGAAAAAAATGACATCTGAACATCCTTTTTTAAGAAAATGAAAATCAATTACTGAAAAGGATTTCTTCTTTCCTAAGCAAATAAGAGCTTTTTGGATTAGAGAAATAGAGTAGCCAAAGTCTTTTTGCTAGTCTCAACTAGAATAGATAAACTGACTCAGTGGGATTTATACTGTATATCCATTTAATTAATTGTTAAATGTACATATAAATCCCATTGAGTCCATGTAGATACTGTAGTAGGGACTAGCAATAGGATAGTGGCAGCTGAGATAGCTAACTAAGGTGGGAATGCAGGGAGCCAAAGCTGCCTCATTCGTCCTAGGAACAAAGCCAAGATCTGTCCTATGTAAGAAAGAGTCAAGAGATGTGTGAAGGGGGACGTAACATCAGTGTCTTTAAAAATATCAGTCTAGGTTGAGGAAAGTTCAGTGTCTGTCAGAGCAGGTAAAAGACAGTACAGTATAGGAAAGTCAGTAGCTCTCTCTCTCTCTCCCTCCCTCTCCCCCTGCCTCCTATTCTCTTCTTTATGCATGTGTCTTCAATTCATTCCATTACCTCCAGCTCTAAGCACTAGCTGAGCCCAGATCAGGACTCTTCAGCTAGCTGGTGCATGCAATACCAGCTGAGAGCACCCAACTTTGCCTCTCTTTCTCCTTTCCCACGCAGGGAATAGATCAGAAGAAAACAAGAATTTTATGCAAGATTTGCATTTGTTGGCCAAGCCGTAACTGAGGTGACTCTCTGCCAGTTGCAAGCGTCAGCTTAGAGTTGCTGGTTTTGTGTTCATCTCTCTCTCTCTCTCCCATTTGGGCGATTTCGCATCCTAGAATCCCCAGATTATCTTTAGTCCTTTAGAGATCAATGATAAAGTCTCTCTCACTCAACTATGCAAAAGATTTCAATATACAAGCATCACCAAACGTTCTTTTGTTTCCTTTTTAAACAGAGCAGAAAGTTCCCCCACCAGTTGGAAAAGAGAGTGTACAGGTTATTTAGCATTTTATTGTTTGTGTACCTTCTGGAAACTAATTGCAAGACTGGGAAATGTTTCATAAAAAAATAGCTCTGAGAGTATCTGTAAACAGAAACGAGCAGTAGAAAGCATCTCACCATTTCAGAATGTTGGTTTTCTAATTTTGCTCATAAATGATGGCTTTAAATTCTCAGCTTTTTTTCTTACCCCACCTTCTTTCTTTGTAGCTACCACAGATGTTGAAAGCATGCTTTATGTTCCATACCAGACCTTATGTTCCATAATCAACAGCATGGCTTTTGGAGAAGGTGAAGCCCAGCAGCTGATTGAAATCCTAACTGAGAAAGCAGGAGGGGCTCAGGATCCATGGCTTATGGTATGAGCATCTTTTGATACTCAGAGCTCTGCTGCAAATTTATGGTTTCCTATTCACATAAATATGTCATAGTTTAATGCAGTTGTGAAATGACAATGTAAGAGTGGAGACTTGGCTACTATGAGGCAGGTAATATATTTACATCCGGCAGTAGAATTGGGGTTCTTTTAAGAGAAGGTAAGGTAGTGGAGTGAACCTGTATTTGGGTACCCACTTCAATTTGTACTCATGTGACTGAATATTCTTCTCTTCAAACCTGTCCTCTGGCCTCCAGCTCTTGATATTTTAAATAATCCATAAGGCTTCCTTGCACCATGCAACATAAGAAAACAACAGCCTATGTTTCAAAATAGAACTTGGTCTTCAAACAACTTCCATTCTCTCTCTCTCTCTCTCCCTCGTATTTCTCATTATCTATACGCCCTTGGAGGGTTCCGTGGGCAGACGACAGCCCCTGGACCCACCAGTGTTGCCTCATTGTTGTTGTTACATGCCGTCAAGTTGCCTCTGATTTATAGTGACTTATGAATGAGCAATCTCCAAATGTCCTGATCTCAGCAGCCATCATCACATCTTGTAAACTCAAACCTCTAGCTTCCTTTAGGGAATCAGTCCATCTCAGATTTAGTCTTCCTCTTTTCAGCTGCCTTCCAGCATTATTGTCTGTTCCAGTGACTCTTGCCTTCTCATGATGTGCTCAAAGTGGGACAACCTCACTTTCAACATTTAGTGATCAGAAGTAGGTTGCACATGAAGTTCCTTGATGCCCAGTGCATTTATGTGAGGAAGTGATAGGGTTATCGTAGTATGTTGTGAACCGCCCAGAATAGTGCATTACACTAATGGGACAGTATATAAATTAAATTAAATTAATAACTTGAGTGTTTTTCCCACAACTTTGATTCAGTCCCAACACTAATTGTGCAGTGACGGAGGGGATATTAACTAGTTCTTTGGGAAATGCCCTCTGTGGAGCCAAATGGGTAGTGAGACTATGATTCCCAAGAAGCACTGTGACAGTTCTTTTTTTATATAATAACTATAGAAAGCAAAGGCTATGTAGCCCTGAAGGTGGACCCTTCACCAGATTAGTGGCGTATAGGTATCTGTAGGTGGCTGCAGGTGTGAATTTTTGGGGGTATCCAGACTGTAATATAGCAAGTGAAGGGTGCTCATGAATGTTTTATCATGCTGCTCCCAGGCAGTTTGTGAGTGTTTCACTAATCTGTTGCCTATTAGTAGAAATAGCTAGGTTAGGGTCTGTGGTATTTACCAACCCAAAGCATGCCTGTATGTTGGGGTATATACCTCCTATGTGCCTCCTATGTGTAAGGTCGCTTATGAGCTGTGAAACAGGAAGAATTATTCACCAATATGGTTTGTGACTGGTGTCCTGAGAAAGAGTGCCTGTGGACGTTCTGGAAACAGAATTTTTAGCCGTGTGTTCTTTGTGTTTGTTCTGAAGGCTAGCTACTCTTTTCAAACGCCTCTTCTTTGTGCACATTGCCCTTTCTCCAGTTACCAAAATTCTTGTGTGCTGTAAGCCTGTATGCCACCGGGCCAGAGTGAGGTAGGCGTATGCCACAGGATTTCCAGCCTCAGAACAGTAAGCAAATAAGAAGGAAATACATTAGTCCTTCGAGAGGTAGAGGTCTGGCGGTTGATTATCATTATGATAGCTTAGTGACCACATAAGAAATGCACCTTTTCTTCTTCTGGAGCTGATCCTAAACAAATACGTGACAAGTTCTGCCGCTGCTGGAAAGGACATGAGGAATGTTAAATCCCTTATGGTGCCTTGGAAAGACCTGCAATATGATTGTCCTTGTAAAAGATGCCAGAATCCTGCCTCTTAGAATTCTAAATCCGCATAGGCTGGAATTAGTATACTAAACCATTGATTGGTTGTACATATAAACCTTTTTCCTGTTCTCAAATACATATTTGAACGCATATCTTTGTGTTAGAAACAACAGAGAGATTAGTGGGATGTGAAAGACTAATGATTCTTGATTTTCCCAGACTCAGTTCAGAGCCAGGGAAATAGGGGCCAATCGGGTCCCTCCTTCCTCCTAAAGCTGGGGAAGAGGAGGTACTTTTATCCCCCCCTTCTGCCCCCAACTGTGGGACATGTTCAGAGTGTTTCCAGGTCCAGGAGCATATGCAGAGTTACCCCCATGCTTGTGGGAGCTGAAACACACATGTATACACACACACAAGCGGATTTCTCTCAGCTTGAGAAATTGCAAAGGGTGGAGAAAATGGCTTTGTGTGTGTGTGTGTGTGTCTGCAAATCCATTTTCTCCACTCTTTGCATTTCTCAAGCTGAGAGAAATCCATGCCTTCTTTTTTTCCTGGTTTTTATAAAGTGTTTCAAATCTGTCACACAACTTTTTAAACTTTTTATTTCACTTTATTATTCTTTTATTAAAATGAAAAATCAATAAGTAAAACAAGGGGGATGGGTCTCCATTAGAGGAAGGAATAGATTGTCTCCATTGATCCTGGGAGCCCAGGAAGTGTATATGTAAATTTGTTTTTTAAAAACATTTTTAAAACAAGAAAACACGGTGGTCAGTGGATTCTGAGTTTTGTAGTAAAAAAAATGTAACTTTCCCAGTCTTGACCTTTCAAGACTGAGTAGGTTGAATGGTTACGGTATTGCCCCATGATCATAGAACTATTCTCCCCAATACCTAATTCCAAAAGTGACATGCCCCCACTCCAGGCACAGAGCCTCCCCAATACGTCCTCCTTTGTCCTCCTTTTTGGCTTTCTATGTCCTCCTCTTCATACACATGTATCTGGCAACCCTAGTCTTGGCAGGCTGCAGCAGGATTTGGCGTAAATCAGGGCAGAAGGAAGTCAGCACCTTGGACAGATCACTGTGGAAAAAAATGGCTGGTTGATGTTTCTCATTCAGGAAGGCTAGAGAAGGTACCAAATGTATTTCTTGTTGTGTAAGCTTTTTTGGAGTGATGCCCCTTTGATTAGATGCATTGTTATCCTCAGCTGCTGTGCACTCACACACTCTTTGTCTTTTGCATTCTGTGGTGCTCTGGGCAAGGCAATGGAAACCCTTGAGCCATGCTCTGGCTTCTTGCCATGCCTTGTTTCATTGAACTTCCAGTGACCACATCAGCTCCCAATGTATATATGTAACAATGGAGATGAGATAGAAGAGGCTTTTTTCTAGAGATGTACTCCGTTCATAGCAGCTTTATGCAGTATGTGTCAACAAACTGGCAAGAGCTGCTTCAGAGTGGAGAAAAGTTAGCTCTAATGACCATTGAAGTCTTAAGTCTTTCTTTAACAGATTTTATCTGTAACAGATACACCCTCATGCATGCACAGGTATTTTATTTTTCTCATTTGTGGGTGGGCTAATATATCAACATTGTATTCCATGAACCAGTATAGTAATTCTAATAAGCCTAACATTAAGGAGAGATGAAGATTTGGGAAAATTGTATTTGCCAAATAAAGGGGAAATGGAAAAGAAATAGAGCATGGGTGCTTATAATTATCTGGCTTCAAAGTGAGGGACCCAGATGATTTTACTACCTTGTTAGTTAGGGGGGAATGGTGTGTGCACAGTGTAAGCTCCCAACTTTTGCTTCCAAATCAAAATTGGAAAAATGGCAAAAGGCATCAATCACTAAGAGTAACTAGGGACTGCGAGTCCACAAACAACCACTTAATGTTACATCTGAAGATGGTTCTGACAAATCTTGTACTGTATTCACAGTGGTAATGGGGAGGCCAAACAGAGGGACCTCATTATTCAGTACCCGGAGTCAAGAAAATTTACTTGCAAAATTGAATTTGTTTATGGAAAGTCGGAGTGTTAAAATGGGGGGTCTAACAAGAACAGACTGTGATTATACTTTCTCTGCTTTTAAGACTGTCACCCATCTTGAAATCCTGTACTGTAGTATCTGTATCCATGGGACTTACACCAGATATTTCTTTAAACTTAATATATTTCCTAAAATCCCTGGGCATGCATAACTATGGTTAGCTTTCCCTTTCCTTAGTGTCATTAATATAAAAGTGAAGTGCTCACTTCCTTACTTTCTCTTCATGAACAGCTTGTCCTTTTCAGTAAGGAACATATCTAGTTTAGCGGCTGCTTTTCTATCTTCTGAAGATGAAACTGTCCACAAGGCATATCAGGAATTCACTATACTTTTCATTCTTAGAAAGGTTTGGCTCTCAACAGATATTAGGAACATGGCAGTTTTCCATTGCTAGTATGACTGTTTTCTTTTTAAAAAATGTCAAAATGATCCAAGAATGCAATCTATAACAGATAGTGGTCTTCCCATTATTTTCTTTCAGCTCCACCTAAATTAGTCAACTGACCACCATTGTTTATATTCGTAATTTTTCTCAGTCTTTAACTATAATGTTTCTCCTTCTCCCTTCCTGTTTGATCTGTTTCTTTTGAGTAAGTTATTTGGCACAACCTTCAATCTAGTCATTAGTTTTGTTCTACTGAGTATCAGCAGTACCTATTTAGTCATGTTGGCCTTTCTACTCTGTAGATTGGGACAGAGAAGTCAGACGTCATTTCCACTGCTCCCTGCTGCCTTTTCCTTTGGACTGAGCTGGTTGGGGAAAATCCCTGTTGCCATTTTGGTTTTACTCACACATCTGTCCACAGTGTGAGTAAGTGGAGGGGAAAAGTGGAGGGGGAAAGCAGGAATCATCAAAGCACTTTGATTCCTGCTTTCCCCCTCCATTTTCTTTGCAAGAAAAATTGCAAAAAAAAAAATTCTTGGAAGAAAATGGATGGGGAAAGCAGGAATCACAAAAGAGCTTTGATTCCTGCTTTCCCCCATCCACTTTCTTGTGAGGTAAGTGCTTTCCCCCTCCACTTTCTTCAGAAGAAAGTCGAGGGGGAAAGCAGGACTCAAAGCACTTTGATCCCTGCCTTCTCCCTCCACTTTCTTGCGAAGAAAGAAATTTTGGGTTAGAAAACTGGGGGGTCTTATACATGGGGGCATCTTATACACGAAAAATGTGATAACTGTTTTTAAAAAATGAATTTAGGAGTTTGCATGTAATGTAAGACTACAGAAAAAAGAAAGAAAATGATTGTGTTAATTGGGGAGCTAATAGGGACTATGGTTTCTATCAAAGATGAGAAAATTTGTAGAAAACAATTAACAGTTCAGTTAGGGAACCCAGAACTCTAATTCAATTAGGTTTCTGTTGGAGGGGGCACATTTTTTAACAAGTAGGTTGATACTAAATTGATATTAAGTTTAGATTGTGTGAAATACATTAAATTTCAATTCTTTAAAAAACCTCTGGTTTATGAATGTGGGATACAGTGGTACCTTGACTTATGAACTTAATCTGTTTTTGAACGGTGTTCGTACATTGAAAAGTTCATAAGTCGAAGTACCATTTTCCATTGAAATGCATGGGAATGGAATTAATCCATTCCAGTATTTCAAAAAATTACCTTCAGAGGTCTCAAAGAGCTTTCCCCCTGACATCGGAGGAAGCCCTTTGAGAGCTCCGAAGGCAAAAAGGCAGGGAGAAAGGGCGGGGAATTTAAATTTCCAGCCCTTTCTCCCTGCCTTTTCGCCTTCAGAGCTCAAAGGGCTTTTCTCCAACATCGAAGGAAGCCGTTTGAGACCTCTGAAGGCAAAAAGGCAGGGAGAAAGGGCGGGGAATTTAAATTTCCAGCCCTTTCTCCCTGCCTTTTTGCCTTCGGAGCTCTCAAAGGGCTTCCTCCGATGTTGGGGGGAAAGCGCTTTGAGACATCCAAAGGCGACAAATGGCTCAATTTGCAAAAAAATGGCATTGACTTGTGAGCCGTTCGTAAATCGAAAAGTTCATATGTAGGAATGTTCGTGAGTCAAGGGTTGACTGTAATGTGCTTCTGTACCCACAATTCAAAATGGCAGGAAATGGCCAGATGTTGCTGTACAATATTGTTCCTGCATTGCCAGCAGGAAAAAGGATGCCAAGCTTTACATAGCAAAAGACATCCTGAATGTTGATGACACCCATGGCAATGGTCAAGATGGTCTACATCAGCGGTCCCCAACCTTTTCTGAACCACAGACTGGTTTAGCGTGCGGGTGGGGGGCGTCATCTGTGGGGGGGGACCTGTGTGTGCATGGGGGCCGGGACATCCATGTGTTCATATGGGGGTGCTGTGTGGGTATCCATGTGGGCGTGAGCAGGGCATGTGTGTGTCCGTGTGTGTATGCGGGGGCGTGCATGCAGGGGATGTGGAGAGCGGGAGATCTGTCTCTGTGGCCAGGTCCTTCCAAGGCCACAACCCAGAAACGGGTCTACAGGATACCCTGTTCTGCTCACTATCATTCAGAAAGTGAGACCAAGCAAGGGAAAATCCCAGAAGCTGACTCCATTTTTCACCAGTTACCAGTTTTCACCCAAACACAAAGCAATTGTACCTGCTGTTTTTCAACAAGTGTGAATGGTAGTGAACTTAGAATAGCTCTTAAAATAATAGAATACTTGCTGGAAATCTGTCTCTTTAAGTGTCTTAAGCCAAAGTTTCAGGTATCATTTGTAGAACGTGAAAGGTAGAGTGGTATCCAAAGCTTGTGCACAGTTATTAAAATATTTGAACAATAAAATGATAATGTATGCACATCCTCCTCTAAATCCTTAATTTGGTAAAATAGTAGTGGATGTAGCTTGGGGCTTTTAGTAATAAATGTTATGATACCAAGCAATAATATTAAATAAGCATTCTTTGATCAGAGAGCTGATCAGCAAATGAAATAAAAAAGGAGCACAGTAATTCCGAAACACTGAATTCAGCACTGAATCATTACTGAATCTATTTCTAACCATCCATTTTTGTTTTAGGCAACTCAGAAAAGTGACCCTCTTGCGGTGCTGAAACGACAGCTAGAAGAAAAAGAGAAACAGCTTGCAATGGAGCAGGAAAATGCATCTGTTGCAAAAGCTAAACTGAGGGAACTTACAAAGGTACCTTTGTATCCTTTAATGTGGAACTTGGAATACTCAGAGCCAGCATTTTGAGACTTGTTACCCAGAGATAAACTGCTTGTCTCTGTGTTGTACGTGTTCAGTATTTCTGCTATTTCGTACGGCACCTGCTAGGCATGGGAACACTCTTTTGGTTCCTCTAACAATACATTGCCTCTGTATCACATTAGGTTTGTCATGGAGGTCTGCAGGACAGCCTTTTTTTGATGTAGCATATTTTTATTCTTTTCTGATCTTCCAACATTTTCAGCTGCTTCTCGTGGGCATAGTGTCGTTGTCTAAGGACTCTCTTCTCCAGGTGGTAGACATTTTGTCCACTTAGCTCCCACCTGGATCCCTTTTACTTGGAGCTGGTGCCCTGTGTGCCCTTTGGGGATGGGTGCAGCCATTGGGGATGAGGAGCAGGACTCAGCATGGGCCACTGCCGCCGCCTCGTAGCTTGTGCTGTTTAGAGTTTAAAGATGAGATGGGAACACTTTTGTTGGAGGAGTTTTTGGTTAATTCCTTTTTAGTTAGCAGAGTGTAATATACCAAACAAACAAACAAAATAGCTGCAGCACACAAGGGAAACATGGAGAACAGTTAAAAGTCCCAGTTTCCACCCAGCCCATTTGCTCTCATAATGACTAGCCCTTTGTATGTAAAAATCACTCTATAAGTAGCCTAAGTAGAAAAGAAAAGCATATGTACTTATAATTGTGGAACCTCAGTTACAATCAGAAGACTAAAAGGGTTTTTAAAATGGATGGACTCTCTCTCATGTGGAAGAGAGTTCCTCCATAGCATGGTCCAGAGGTCAGGAAGGAAGAACTAACATGTCTGTTCTGGTCGAAAGTCAGAGAAGAAGAGAAAAAACAAACAAAAAAACAGAAGCAAACAAACAGGAAGAGGCAGTGTGGAGTTGCCTCAGGCCTGGGAAAAAGGACTCTGCTAATTGATTACTGCCAAGGCATAATTAGGCTAGGCTGGGAAGCCCCCTTCCCACTGAGATCCAGTGTCAGATTGCATGCCAAATTGTTATTTTCTCCAACAGCTTTTGAGGGCAGGGAGCCAAATTCCCAGCGTCCCTCAAAATCAGATGATAAGTGTGGGACAACGGAAGCCTGTGTGTAACAGAGCCCACTAGGGAGAACGTGGGTATGCGTGCAAAATGCAGTGCCGTGCAGCTGAGTCACAGAAAGCCTTGCCTTGGGTGGACATGAAGCAGATAGCCTTCTGGTTGAGCCATGCCTATGCAAGCGTGGCAGCTCAGTCAGCACTGACTTCCCCCACCCCATATCTTCCTCCAATAAGGAGGATGAAGAGCAGGTGAACCCTGCAGAAGAAACCCTCCCCAAGACCACATTCCCTCTCTCAGAATCTGGCACCATTTTTCCAGATGAGAAAAGCTTGAGGGTGAACAGAGTTCCTGGCTGAGCGGTGAGAAATGAAAGGTGGCCTGAGAACAAGGGCTTTCTTTTCTGGAGCACTCCACAGACCGGAGGAGAGAATTCTGTAAGATAGATTAGGGCTCTCAGGCTAGAGATTCCCATCCCTATGTGAAAGAAAGAAAAGGATGACGGTACAAAAAGAGAAGGACGAGGATACTACATGAAGAATCAGAGTGGGGAAGAACTGACGACGTGGCTTTTTCTCGTGGCTAGAAAGGACAACCCGTTAGTCTGTCTCTTGACTGAGAAGGAAATATAAAAGTGCCAAGCTTTTCCCGTTAGGAAGCCAAAATCCTGGATGTACTTTGACCTGTAGATCGGGATAAATATAAAGGCTAACCTTGCTACTCTGTCCCATTGTTCCATGTAAACAAACAGAGCGGTTAAGGGGTGTGTGCTTAGTCACTGCCCTTTGTGTTTTATCCTGGTAAAATATGGCAGTATTTATTTCTCCTTCACCAGCATCTCTCTCTTTCAAAAGGAGATGCTGGCGAACAGATCATGATTTGAGAACACTGTTCCACATGTGTGCTTGAAACCTATCATACCAATACTGAATAACCTCTAGACTCAGAGCCTCATCTGAGGGCGCAATATGCTATGAGTTCAAGACCCTGACTCTTCACTTTAGGCTTTCTTCATTTCAAATATCTTCTCCTGTAGGAACTTGCAGCTGAGAAGGCAAAGACCCTTGCCATTGAGAACAAGTGGAAGGAGCAACAGCTGACGCATGAGCAAGAGATGTCCAGTGTACAAGCCCGGATGCAAGCGAGTTACCAGGATCACTTGACAGAGATGCAGCAGCTGCAAGGAAAGGTAGATTGTCAAGATATGCAGCACTTATTTCAAAGCCAGTTTTATTTGTTAATAACATTAGTAATTAGGATACCTAGGAATATCATAATATCTCATTTTCATTTCTTATTTCTGCAGTGCAAATAAATATTTCATATACACTTTACATACTTTGCTTGGTGGTAGCAACTGATTATTTTTTGAGAAATGTCTTGTTCCTTTTTTAACACATACACACTTTCTCTCTCTCTCTGCCTCCCTCCCTCCCCCCCCCATTTTTCAAATAGTTGGTGTCAAAAAGAGATTATTTCCCAATCATCATAAGGGGAAAACACCTATTTCTGTTAATGAGTGGGATCTGCTGCTATTAAAAATATTACATAGACACACCACAAGCAAAATAAAACATCAAAGAATATATTTTTCAACAGGGTGTTCCCCCCCTCCTTTTTTTAAAGGTGAAAGGTGATTTCTGTATGATACTAAGAGAGCAGTTGGCCTTCGCCATCAAAGGATACGATTGGCAGATGTCCCTCCTGAAAGCAGAACAGAACAAAATTCATCAAAGAATCCTTTTGTACAGCGTGTCCCCATGTTTTTTCAGAGAGTTGGTCAGAAAAAACAATTGATTGCTCCAATGGCTGTGCAATTGTTTTCAATGGGAGGGGAACCCTGGTAGAAGCTGTGAGATTCACAGCCTTCAGTGGTGGTGAAGGTAAGACAGGCCAGCTGGAAGTATCGTACCATCACCAATGCCGAAGGAGCAGTAGATTCTTATTTAGCAGCAGATTGGCAGTAGCAACGATGTTGGTGTTAAGAAAGTCACACACAGATCACCTGTTGCAGCACAGAAATGGAAGGATGAAAAAAACAGAATAAAAGGGGGAATGCAGTGAAATAGACAGATAAGCAGAAATGAGGAGGTTTTGGGATGAGATGGTAGTGAAAATGTGATATGGACCAGTGGTGTTCAGATAAAACGTGGGGAAGACAGTGAGCTGTCTTGATGTTTTTTAAATATTTAGATATTTGAAATATCTTTATGTCCAAATCTGTGATGTCAGAGATGCATACATTCATTGCTGGTACAACCTTTTACCATACTAGCTCTTTCAGTTCTGCCCTGCAGTTCGTACATACCCTTTGTGTTAGAGGATACACAATATACTACTTCTCTCTGTGTTATCACAATTTTATCTCCATATTCAACATTATGGCTGAAATTCTATTGCTTAGCCTAGTAAGTTGCAACAGGAGTAGGCCTATTGAATAAGTGGAACTTACAGAGGAGTTGACTCACCAAACCCTCACTGATTTAGTGAGCCGACATTGGTTGCAACTTGCTGTAAGATTTCAGCCCATAACTTTTGTCTGTAATGTATATCACTAATAAAGCCTCTTAGACATCTTTGGTCCATACAACGTGTCATTAATCATTGTATCTTGGGAACATCTGGTGGTCTATGGATTCCTTTGCCATCTCTTTCCTCCTTAGCTCTCTGTCATCACCAAGTAGCACACGTTCACTTGTTTTTTGTCCTACAAGTATTGGGGGGGGGAATCTTCATTTGTAGGCATATGTTTAGATGCTCTCAACTCCAAATAGAAATCCTTCTGCACATCACTGTTCCTTCTAGACATCACTTTGTAAATGGCTGTAGATAAAACTTTGTGTATGTGTACCTATATTTTTTTTCTGTGTAGAAAAAGGTGATCCCTTTAAGCAGAGAACCATCTCGGCATGCAAAGCAAAGACTATTGTTATTTTTAATTCTTCCTTTTCTTGCAGCTGAATTTCTTTGCATTGTCTTACTTCAGGGCTCTATTTGGATTTGAATGACTCTCCCTCTGCAGCCTAGGCAGGGATCAAAGGAGCGTTGCTGTCTCCATTATGACTCCCTGTTTCTGTTTGTCTCTTGTAGAAGCTATAATTTGACGGAAATTATGTGATTCTTTCTGTGCTTCTGTGATGGAAGCAAATGTTCCTTGTGACTTCTTGCTACCTTCTGATTGTCAATCAGAATTTCTCTTGCTTCTGTTAAGAGCTGTTTAAGCTCTGAGGGTAATACTGCATAAGGCTAGATGGCACAGATAAGAAACCTGATGCTTCTTTCATGTTTGAGGAAACAGTTAGAACAGGCCTGAGGCAGTTTGGGGGAACTATGGGAGTCTTAATGCAAACCTCTGTAGAGCACTATGTTGGGAACCAGTCCAGCTGGAATTCTGGAAGCTTTAGTCAAAAAATCTAAACGGAGTTTAGTACATCTGCTCCTCAATAAGCTGACAAGGTCTGCAGCAATAGACATTAATAGTTAGGTAACCCCCACAATTGGAACTTTTTAAGCTCCATCTGAACCTGTAAAGCATCATGAGATAGTAGCTTGCCTAAGGCTAAACAGCCTAACTCTTCCACAAGGCATAGTAGGACTCCTGGTTCCTCAGGGAATTGTCACGAATTTCTGTGGTTCGTGCTATTTAAGGGCAGTGTTCTCTTTATAGAGAATTTGTAGCTGAATTATAATAGAAATAGAAAAGAGTGATCTATTCTGATTCCTTTCCTGTTATCTTGCTGGTTGGCAGTTACCATGTGCTTTTTACCTCCATTTCGAACATGAGACTAGTATTTGTCAGGTTTCAGGGATCTCCTATCTGCCAAGAACAATTCATTTATGTAAATTGTGGACTTACATTACCTTTGGTTTGATGTGCAGAAGTTTAATGAATGCTTTCCTGGCAACAACATATATTAGTACTCTTATGATCAAAGTCAATAGGGGCCACTATTCTAATTCCCCTGTGGCTGAAGAGGTTCTTGAACTTTTCACCCTACAAATGTTGTGGATTCATTCTGATTTAATTGTAGTCTCCATCACTCCCAATGAAAGATGGGAGGAAGGATATATATTTGAAGATAATGAAATATATCACTGGGGCTGTGGGAGAGTAACTGGGCATCTGATCTTCCAGTTCTATGATCAGATTTTGGCTCCACCTGTCATCCTCAATGGTTTTCAGGGATGTCCTCAGAAACAGCAGAAGCTTCTGTTACAGCATCATGATAAGAAACCAGATGACAGGTTTCTGTATAATCATTGGCAACTGGACAGTCCAACACAGCAGCTTTGAAGGTTTTAACCTATAATTACCAGCACTAGGCAACATATGGAAGATCAGATGCCCAGTTATGCCGATGGGTCCCGAAACATCCTATTCGGCATCCTAAAATATACCTTTGTTTTTTGGATCCTAAAGGGCTGCTTGAACAGCCTGATTTCATTGCAGAAGTACCAAAAACTTCTGCAATGAAGTGGTAACTTCTGAAAACCATAAAGTGCAAAAAGCAGAAAAGCTTTCTTCCAACAAAACATCAGGTGAAGTATTCTAACAGTTTGGAGACTGAAATAGGTGGCGGGGAAGGATCACCAGTGACCACAAGTTACAACGACTCTGAAGAAGATGAAATTGGAGGCATGACACCATAATCACAAATGGAAGATGAAAGGCAGCTTCATCCAGCACTTTGTCAGTGGCTTGTGATTAGGAAAGGAAAACTCTGACTTCAAACCCCCACTGAGGTGCCATGAGCGAGCAGGCTAGGTAGGTGGAACTCATTAGCCTGGGAAGGCAGCCCATCTAGGAGAAGGAAAACTCTAACTTTAAACCTCCATTGCCTTGTGGCTATATCCACCAATGGAAAAGGCTTCAGGAGTTAACCTTGAGGCAAAATTCGGAGGCGGAGTTCTGGAGGCAGTTCGTGTCATTCTGTCAACTCCTGCCACGTCACTGAAACCAGCTGTATTGGCTCTTGCGTTTGCATTGGACTATTTCAGTAATGTGGAGAGGGGGGATTTGCTGGTTGGGTAACAGCCTATCCTCCATATTATTTTACCCAGGCTTCGTGCCCTGGAAACGACACTCCAGCTTTGCGTACAGCGTCAAAACACTAGATACTGTTCCAAGTCCTCCATACAGAGCACGTTGCCATAGTCTCTCGAGACCAAAGGATGCCTATGAGGAAGCTCTGAGGGTCAGATTAAACGGGCTTAGAATGATTCTCCCTCTTTCATCTATATTTAAAGAGGGATCTATACAGTGATACGGTGTGCTCCCATCTTTCTCTTAAGCACAGAAATACACATACATGAGGTCTTTCTCTAGATGTCTCTAGCATGTGCATTTTCCCTTGTGTCTCTTCGGCCTCTTTTGCTGCCTATCATGTTTGCTATATGTGCATGATCTATTTCCATCTGGTCCTCATTTGGACAATTTTCTTTATTCCTGGGAGTAGGTTCATTATGATCTGAGAGCAGTTCCTCTCTTTTGGCAGGAAAAAATGAAGGAGACTCATAACGTCAACCGATTTATTAATTTGAACATTGGGAAAATCAACAATTATCTCCACTGGATCTAATAAACTAACGTCCTTTAACTGACCATAACTCGGGGTCAACAGTTCTCAAATGGATTAATGAGGGGGTTGGTCCAAACCACTTACGATCCGTCGGTCTTTGTAGCGGAGTGCTGCTCACAGCACAGATGGTCCCACGGCATCTGGCCCAGTCGCCTTCCTGAGGAGGTTGATTGAATGAGGAGTCCGGCCGGACCACCTTCTTCCAGCAACCCTGTCCTCTGGGGTACACAATTGCTGTCCATTCTAACAGATCAATTGGGATGTCCTTTGGCTTCTCAGAATCTGGAGTTGGGATCAGCCCCCCGTCTTCAAATTTGGAAAGTCCTCCAGCAAACTCTTCATTCTCTCATAATCTTTTTTTACCACAATCTCCCTCTCTTCTCACTTTCTTTCCTTCTCTTGCTCTTTCTGTCTCTATTCTGAACTCCCTCTTCCTCTCTCGACCTTCTATATCTTCCTCCCCGACAGGTAAGATTAACTCCTCCCCTTTTTCTCCCCGACAGGTAAGATTAACTCCTCCCTTTTTTCTCCCTCTTTCTCCTCCACTAAACAGATCTCAATCTTCTCTTTTTCTCTCTTCGACTCTCTCTCGGCTATCTCTCCTCTACTCCCCTCTTCTTTTGATCTTTCTTCTTTATCTATTTCACAGCGTGCAGGTATCATGTATGAAGGGGAAGGGGATGGCACACTATCCGTTTTCTCCTTTTCCTCTACATCTCTCAGTGTGCAGGTATCGTGTGAAGGGGAAGGGGATGGCACACTCTCCGTTTTCTCCTTTTCCTCTACATCTCTCTCACAATTCCTCAGGGAAGATTTAACCTGGAAGATTCCTAGTAACTGTTGGCTGCTTACCAGAATTTAACCTGAAACTTCAGTGCCACCCTTATGAGAACATGTATGTTTGTTTGTGGCTAAGCAGTCCTGATGTGTATCTAGTTATCGGACCCTTACCTATAGATAGCCCTGTTTCATTGTCAGACTTGATAGCATACTCAGATGGTGTCTGTTGGCCTGCTAAAAGCAATATATGTCATTTAAAATATTAAAGTAAATATTAAAGAGGAGGTTTGAATTTATGTTGTACAGTTATGAGCCATGATTCTTCATCTATCTCAGAAAAGATTTCCATTAGTGAACTTAAATGGAAAGCAACTTAATACATAGCATAGTTGTGGGGCTTCTCCCAGATGGCCCACATTCTTTCCATCCATCCATTCTCTTAATCTGTTTAAATGTTTGAATATTTAATATGACTCTACTTTTGAATTGTTTCAGCTAGATTACTTACACCCAAAGAAGCACCTTCTGTATCCAGTCCCTTAGAATGATTTTGGATAACAGAATGAGGAATGATTTTTGCAAAAGAGCACAGAGTTCTAGTCAGAGTAGACGATCTTGGAGCGGATTGACCAGTGGTACTTCAACTCAATTATGGAATAATGGAGTTGAAAGGAACTTTTAAGGCCATGAAGTTGAACTCCCTTCTCAGTGCAGGAATCCAAATCAATCTTGGAGCAGATTGACCAGTGGTACGGAATCCAAATCAAAGTATATCTGACAGATGGTTGTCTAATTTTCTCTTGAATGCCCCCAGCATTGGAACACTCACCACCCTTTGAGGCAATTGGTTCTTTTGTTGTAGTGCTCTAATAGTTAGGAAGTTTTTCCTGCTATGCAACTGAAGCCTGGCTTCCTATAACTTGAGCCCATTGTTGTGTGTCCTGCACTCTGAGATGATTGAGAACTGATCCTGCCTGTCCTCTCTATGATAGTCTTTCAAGTATTTGAAAAGTGCTGTCATATCTCCCCTCAATTCCTTTCTCAAGCCTAAACATGCCCAGTTCTTTCAGTCTTTCCTCACAGGGCTTGGTTTCCAATCGCCTGATCATCCTTGTTGCCTTCTTCTGAACTTGGTCCAGTTTGTCTGAATCCGTCTTAAAGTGTGGTGTCCAGAACTAGACACAGTACTCGAGATGAGTCCTACCCAGTGCCAAACGGAGGGAAATTAGAACTTCACGGGATTTGGAGTCTGTATTTCTGTTAATGCAGCCTACATAGCATTTGCCTTGTTTTTCCTACCACATTGCACTGTTGGCTCACAATCGGCTTGTAATCTACAACAACTCCAAGATCCTTTTTGCTCATAGTGTTGCTGAGCCAGGTATCTCCCATCTGGAAACTTGCATTTGGCTTCTTTTTTCTACATGTAGAACTTGCACTTCCCCCTGTTAAATTTCTTTCTGTTGTTTTCAGCCCAGTACTCAAGACACTTCAACACCTCTAATGAACCATTTTGGACAACTGTGGCAAATAATTGTCATCTGACAGTTGGGGTAGTGGAAAGTGTTCAGAGAGTGTTTGTAGATGCTTTCTCACAAGATCACCTTTGCCCATATTCATTTGGCTTAATCTATTCAGTCTCTGTCCTCACCATTTCAGTTGACTGTGGATGATAAAAGATGCATATTACTCTCAGGTAAAGACCATATATGGTCTAAATAGAGCCTGAGTTGTTGCCCTGGACACACACAAAAAAACACCTAGGAGTTCTTATGAAGTTCTTATTTATTGATTTTCAGATTCGAACTCTACAAGAACAGCTGGAAAATGGCCCCAATACACAGCTTGCTCGCTTGCAGCAAGAAAATTCCATTCTGAGAGATGCTCTAAACCAAGCCACAAGCCAGACTGAGAGCAAGTAAGATGGAAAGTATTCTAATTAAAATGGAATCACAAAATGGGAGAGTGCTTTTTTTAAAAAAAGAACAATCCAGCTTCATCCTGTTTGTGCCATGGCTTTGATTAACTTCTTGTGTCATAGAAAATGTAAATGAAAGAACAGTTGATCTAGGCAAACAATACCCTTTTGCTGGACGGAACCTGATGGGTGCTGTCTTCTTAAATGGGTACCTTTACATTGTCTTGGTACACGTATACCTTCCTGGATATTACCTGTAAATGTAACTTTGATGTTAACTATGCTCTCTTTTTCATCAACAGGCATAAAGTAAGACAAATAAAATATAATTATCTGTTGTTTGCATATAAGACACAAGATAACATGCACAGTAGGAGTATAATCTTTGTCTCCGTGCTCTGAGGGTCATTTCTAGCATCTCCAGATGAATTAATCTATAATATGGTTGGTTAAGAAAATGACTTTGGCTGTAGGGCTCTGTGGCAGGGACAGGATTCAGAGAGGCGCGAAAACAATGGTGTTTTAATGTGAAGTACCTGAACTGATTTTAATGCTAACGTTGAGACTTTTTCTTTTGTTGACAGTCTTTGCCAGTGTGAATTCAGTCCAAGAATATTCTCATAGTGGGAAGCAGATGTTGTTCATGCAAAGGCCTTTCATTTTCCCCTCCAAGAGGGAAAGTTTCTGTGGACCTGAGCACTTTCACATATTACCTAGGATGCAGGTGTCTGATGGAGCAGATCTCCCGGGACCTGCTTGTGCTCGTAGATATGTGCAGGAGGCCTATCTCATTGTCCACCATTGGGAAGAATGGTGACACATAATTGGTTAATTTCTGTAATGGTGCTCCAACTCTGGAACGCTGTCTCTCAAGATGGTCATTGGCTTTTATTATATACTTGTTGGTTATATTTACTTTTTGTGGTTAGCTTTGAATTACTACATGCCATTGAATTGTTATGAAGAGTGGGGTATAAATAGAATTAATTTTAAAAAAATGGAATACTTTGAACAGAGAGTCTCTGTTGATGGGTCTTTTTAAATGAAAACATTTAGATCCCATCTTAATGTGAAATGCTGAGGGCAATTTAAATTTAAATTACAAAATTTAAAGGAATCTCAGTTTCCTGGCTTATAAGATCTCTGCCGGTGGCAATGCATACTTTTCAGAAGCAGACTTAATGAGAGTTGTGCAGAACATGTTCTTTTAGCCTTTTTTGCCATCCTGAGATACTCATCTCTGCCTTTTGGCATGGTGGCTCCAGACTCTTGGGCATCTGCTAGTGGAACACTTCAGATATTCTTGTGCTTTTTCTGCAAAACATTCCCTGGCTGGGCATCACTCGACATTAGGAGGAGAGGGTTTTTGGAAAGACGTCCTTACAAGTGAGTGCACCTTCCAATGAAAAGCTTTCTGGCCTGACTGCACCCAGGTTGACCTTCGGTTTCCCTTGATATATAAATTGTGTTTTGTTTATTGGAACCTTTCTATGAGAAACAAAATTTATCTGAAGTATGGTATGTCTCGTGTTTCTGGTTCTGACTTCTGGGTGCTTCTCTAGTCCTGCATTGTTACCGTTTTTGCTTCTCAGTCCTGACTCCCAGTTCCTTGTTCCTGACCTGTTCTGGACTGTTGCCCCTCAAACCAGCCCTGGCAATTTGCACAAGCCAAGGGCGCAAGTCCCAAGTGAAAACAGGATAGATATTACTTCAAGGAGCTAGATGGATCCAGACCTTATATAAAGTTCCCAGGCTCTGGTAGCTTCAAGTAGCAAGTTTACAGAATGAGGTGTGCCCACAAGCCTATGTTGTGGAGCATAGCTGAATTTGTTTCTCCCAGCGATCTTGTTCTCAGGGAAAACCCTTGAATGCACCTTGCCTGCCTTGGAGAAGGCTGCCTTTTGTTTGGAAGTGTTGGCAGTTTCACAAAAACTCTGTCTAGTTTCACTGCCCTGCCCTCATATCCAGTGTCCTCTGATTTCAGAAGCTCAGCAGGATTGGGCCTGGCTAGTGCTTGGATTGGAGAGCAGTGGGGAAACCCCAAGGGATCTCCAGGTAGGACTAGGGAAGAATCCTGCTGGGAACCGCAAAGAGCTTCTGCTAGTCAGAGCCAACATTATTTGTTGTGTGGCAAGGAGGCATTCTAGCCAGACTCATATGGTGGAGAAGGCCCTGCAAGAAAGAAATAGGAGAAAGAGGGTGATCCATATTTACTATAATGCAGAATGCTTCTGCGTAGTGGCAGAGGCCAAATGGAATGAAGTGCTGCAACATTTCATTGCTGGGCAGTTTGCGTATGTTCATCAAGAACTTGGAAACAAACAGAGAATGAGGAAGGCTTGGTAAATTACCCTTTTTGGATACAATTCCCCTTTCTTTCCATCCATTTTCCAGCTGGTATAGCCACCTACCAAAACAGGAAAAAAAAGGAGGCTAATTTGGTTGTCCTCTTACCGTGTGAGTAGCACCATTAATTTTAGCATGTTATTTGCAAACTGCAGGATACATCTGTAACTAACAAGTGAGGAGTGTTTTTGAACAAGGAAAATAAGGAGCAAGGAAATAAGATGCCACTTTAATCATCTGTTACACAGAGGAACATTTTTAGTTCTGTTAAATCACTATGATGTCGAACAAGCTTGATGCAAACTTACTTTTTGCACTTTTCATTCAGACAAAATGCTGAACTCGCCAAACTGCGCCAGGAATGCAGCAGACTAAGCAAAGAGTTGACTGAAAAGCTGGAGGTGTTACAGCAGGTAGAAGAGCAGAAAAAGGCACTGGAGACAAAAGCTACTGCCTGTGAAGAGCAAATCTGCCAGCTCCAGGTCAGTCGGGAGCTGTGGTAATTAAACAGCTGCTGTGATTACTACAGTGCATTTGAGGACCTGGCTATATTTATTATGAACAGGCTGTCAGAAGTTGAAAGTTTTGGCTTCTATTCCCATACTTCTCTCTTGTTAGGTTGAAATGTTTCACAGCTCATCCAAGTAGCTTCTTCAGTCTGAGGAGAGTTAGTAGGAAACTGGGGTATGTTCTCCATCTAAGGAGCCTATTCAGACCAGGGGAAAGTGAAACAATGCGGAGGATATATCAGGGGTCTCCTATCAACTTTCCTCAGATTGAAGAAGCTACTTGGATGAGCTGTGAAACATTTCAATCTAACAAGAATGAAGTTCAGTTACCATGACTCATCTTCCAGATTGCTTTAATCAGTTTCTCTCTCTCTCTCTCTCTCTCTCTCTCACACACACACACACACACACGCACGCACGCACGCACGCACGCACGCACGCACGCACGCACGCACGCACGCACGTACGTACGTACATGATATGAGTGTAGCTGCTTTGGAAAGCTGCAGGAATTGTTGCTTTTATTTTTTATTATAAAGATATAAAAAGAGAAATAATGAAAACAGAAGTAGGTTTATGTACAATTCTTGCATATCAAGAGCACACAACATTTGTATCCATGACTTATACTCTACCTTTTATACTAAACATACCAATCTATGCTTTGACATTTGTATCCATGACTTATACTCTACATTTTATACTAAACATACCAATCTATGCTTTAGATTTATTTGACCTTCTGAAATATGTGCTCTGCTCATCCCAAATTCTGTATTATTCTTAGTCCACATTTTTACTCTTTTAACATCTGCTTTCCTATTTACAAGTATTTTTACAGCATTATTTATGCACTATTTGGTTAAATAATCAAAACAGTTTCCCACTTTTTCTAATATTCTTTGACAGGTTTTCTGTTCGTACAGTTTTAAGTTTAGCCATTGTAGCATAGGATACAATGTAGCATATTCAAACATTTTTTCTCTCCAATTCTCTGTTGATTGGCATGTCTCTGTTTACCATTCCTTAGCCATTATTCCTCTGGCTGCTGTTAACAAACAATTTAAAAAAGGTTTTGGACTTTTCCAGATTTTCTGGCTTCATCTCAAATTCAATTTTCAGGATTTTCCTTATTCAGCATGAATGTCTTTCCAAACTTACTTTGCCTTTTTACAAGTCCACTGCATATGGTAGTATGAGCCTTCAGTTTCCTGACTAGACATGGGGATGAATTAAAAAATGGATCGCGATATTCGTCAGAAATCACTGATCTGTTAAATATTCGTCCCTTCATATTAATGGGTTCCAGAGACCCCGACAAATACAATGGGACAAATATTTCCCCATTTTTATTTGTCCCCCATAGGAAGAGAGGGAAGGCTAGCCTTCCCTCTCTTCCTATGG